TGAACAACTGGAGTTGTGTGCTAATCCATATTTATATGAAAACGTCTTGATGAAGTTGAGGAGACTCTTTTTGGGGAAACGAAAATTTGGCTCCAACAACTTCTCACTTTTGAATTTTCAAACATGTATTTATTTGTTTTTTTTTTAATCAACAAAATAGTTAAATCTTTATTCAAGATTAAAACCTAATTTAAGGCTTATATTGATAATCGAAGAGAAATTAATGAGATACTAAGGTAAATTAGGAAAAAAAAAAAAAGACATCAAATTGGTTAAGGCATTTTTTTTTTTTAATCTTGGTGAAAATTTATTTATTTTTATATAAAAAAAATGGAGGAAGTGCAAAACATTAATCTTTATATTCAAACTTAAATTTATTATTCAAAAATATTAAATCACAACAACGAATAATAAATATAAACAACTTCCAAACCACCTTATTAAAACTAGTACCAGTACTAGTTATAAATAAATTGTCCAATACATCAACATAAAAAGTAGTAGTAGAAAAGTATGATAGGTTAGAAAAAGTAAGTTACCACGTGGATTTAAAAGATAGATCTAGACTTTGAATCAGAGACACGAGAGATGATGGTCTAAACGTGTGTCACGTTCTGAGTTTAATAAGAGTAATAACTTGTGTGAATAGAATAGTTGACATTTTATTGTAAAAAATTGAAAATGCCATTCCACTTTATCAGCCTGTGGGCTGTTATTCATTTGCTGTCATTAATGCGCATTAATTTAAAACAATAAATCCCGATCGACTTTGATCTGGTAGGAGAATAATTGACCAATATTATATAAATTTATTATTTTAATTTCATAAAATTTAAACATTTCATGAATTTACAAAAATTTTTTTTGGTTGAAAAAAAGTCGTTAACAATCTATAAATTTTTTTTTAATTTATTGAAGGCTTTTATGATCTAAAATAACACTGCGAGCTATACAATAAGAGGTAGCTCTCCCCTTAGTTCACCAAACTGGTAACAATAACTATGGTCAAGAGAACTCGAACTCATGACTTTTCACTTTTCGTATAATTTAGAAGACCAACCAGGCTACCGCCTTGTTGACATCTATAAAATTTTTTAGTTATAATTTGTTGTTGTTGTTTTAGTATTACTCTTACGTAATCATCTATACATTTTTAAGTTACTCTCTCTTTTTCTAAATATTTGTCATATTTGAAATTTCATATTTCATAGGAGACTATTAAATTTGTCTATCACAATAAATTATCGAATAAATTGATTATATTACCCAATATTTAATATATCCAAATACCAAATTACTTAGAAATTAAAACAATAATTATTGGTCATATACGAATGGTAAATATAGAAAAAAAAATTATTACTCATTGAAATTACAAAGGTAATAAATATTTTAAAATATAATAATTTCTCAAATATCATAAGTATTTAGGGGAGGTAGTATTTTAATTCTTGTTTTTTGCATTAAGTTTTTTTTTTTTTTTTTTTTTTTTTATTTAGGGGAGGTAGTTATTTTAATTCTTGTTTTTGCCATTAAGTTTTTTTTTTTTTTTTTTTTTTTTTGAAAACAGCCGCATTAAGTTTATTTATTTATACTACATGTTTTATAAGTTTTCATACTAGTAGTATTAATTTATTTTATTCTATGCACTTCATACTTTAATGGTAATTGGACTATAGGTAAAAACAAGTTAAGCTAATTACTTATTTATCCTAGCTATCAGACATTTTAATTTCTGATAAGCTATTAAATTTTATTTTTTTTTTTTTTTTTTTTTTTTTTGAAAACAGCATTAAGTTATTTTATTTATACTACATGTTATAAGTTTTCATACTAGTAGTATTATTTATTTTATTCTATGCACTCACTTTAATGTAATTGGACTATAGTAAAAACAAGTTAGCTAATTACTTATTTATCCCTCAGCTATCAGACATTAATTTTTGATAAGCTATTAAATTTTATTTTATTTTAAACCAAATGAGCTATATTATATATAACTAATTAAATACTCACTTATAAATTTTTAAATTATATTATTTTATTTATTATTCTACTCTAAAGAGTTATTCTTCTGAGAATAACAAATGTGCTTAGTTGGAATCCCACGAGCACAAAGTATCTTGAATTTTTTAAGAATTTAAAATTGATTTCCTTTCTGTAGCGAACAGTAAAACATTTTTAATTATTCAAATTTACAAAAACATACCTCTTCAACTAAGTCTAACATGATTAGTCTCTATTTTTTTTTCTTTAAATAGAGGAAATTAAGAATTTTTCAGTTTTTATTTTCTTTGGATGAGTAAGAATATTTAACTAAAATTTTCAATTTTTGGTTATATGACAAAAAAATTTTGCTAATATAACAAAAATTATTAAAATAAGAGTAAGTTTGTGCATAGTTTTGCAATAAATGAATAAATATTGAGTTAAAATTGAATAAAAAGAAAATTTGAAAATAAAATTTTCAATTCTGTTTAATTAATTGAGCTTTTTAAATTTTTGAATAGTGTAATTCAAAATATGTGCGTCAAATAAATTTTGTTAGTGTATATTTGGTTTTGTTTAAATTGAATAAGGGTTATACCTATTATATAATTTAAATTAGGGTAAAGAATTGTTTAATCTCTCAAATTTGATCATAATTGAAACTTAATATTTCTTATTTTGTTAGTACACTTATTTTTTTAATACACTGATTTCAGCTTTGGGTCGAGCTATTTTTCCGGAGGATCTATCCTACGCTATCTTTACCGCAATAGAGTTTAACCATCAAGTTTAGAATGGATCAATGTGGTTAGTATTTAGTCATTCGTCAAAAATATTTTTTTCCTTTAAAAAAGAAATTAATGATTATTTAATAATAGATATGAGGAACTAAATTGTAATGCTATACTAAATATGAAGATTAAAGAGTAAAATATTGTACGGTACTTAATTCTTAAAATGATACTTTTTGGATATAATAAATGTTTTAACGGGAGTAAATATAGACTAACCAGTATAAAAAACAAATGTTTTAGACTTTTTTGTTTATTAAAATTTTCAACTTCATCTTTGAGTTGTCTATATTCCTCCATTGTATGTCTGTAGTCATCATAAAATTTATAGAACTTGCTTCAATCCCCAGTGATAGTAGATATTTTATCTATCTTTTTGTAGATACTTGATAGGAATTTGAGATTGTTGAATCCAAAGGAGGATTCTTCTTCTTGAATCGTTAAAAGGGTATCACGTTAATTGTCTTTTGAGCTAATCATCTATGCATTGAGCTCTGGTCCTATTAGGTTTATGTTAAGATTCTTGAGATGATATGACATCATCAAATCGAACGTCTTTTTAAACTCGCTTTATGAACTATTTTTTTGGAGGTGTTTTGAACAATGATTCAGTAAATTTGATATTTCTGGTTGCTATTCTTATAGCTTCACGAGCTATTTTATAATTCAAAATTTTCACGTGATTTTCTTCATTGTTAAAGTGCATTATATCCTGTCTTAAGCTCTCGTTATAGCTCTATTTCATCTCTTGAAAGTCAAAGGATAACTTTTAGGAGGATTGGATGCTGTAAATTGATTCTAAAAAATTTGAGTTAGCTCTCTAAAATTATAAGTTGATTTTGAGTTAGCTCTCTAAAATTATAATTTAATCCTGCTTCTAAGCTCTGATTTTTGCATAGTTGACTAGAGACTTGCCTCGTAACTCAATTGGGTGCTGAGTCATGATTACTTGTTTGAGTGAGCCAATTAGCTCATGCCAATTTGAAATCTTTTATACTATTCGGTAACCGTTGTTATTATAAATCAAGTCTTTCAACTCAACAACTAATTAAATTGTGAACCTTCTATATTCCTATATCAGGAAAATATTATAAGGGTAACATAAAAAAAGCGGTTTAACCATAGTGAATATGTTTTCTTTATTCATGTGAAGTTAAGCTAGACCTATTTTTATAGGATAAAAACTATTCTTTTTGTCCATTTTTGTCTTATAAGGTTTTTTCAAAATAAATAAAGAAATAATTAAATCACCTAAATTACCGTAAAATATTTCTTAATTTCCCTAAATAACCTTTGGTCTTACCTAATTACTCCATATCAATAATTATCTCTTCTTACTAAAAATTAAGAGGGAGGAAGGAAAATATGACAAAATGAATTTTAGGAAATGCAGATAATAGTGATTATGTTTACTAGAGCTGACAAGATTAATTTTTTTTTCTAAGCAAATTGTAAAAGTTTAATAAACATTCGGATCCTCTTTGGCAGGGTAATTTGAAAGTTTATATTATACATTATCCGAATGAAGTGAATCTTATTTTAAGCCATATACCAAATTAGGAGTGTTATGTATGTAAAAAATAACTGATTGGAAAGTTTTTTTTGACTGTTAAACACTTGATTGGAAAATTTATCCATTGAAATGTCACAATAATAAAAATTAAAAAGTTCAGGTATCAACTATGTAATTAACCTTTTTTAATTTTTTTTTTCAAAAGAATCAACTCTTTTTAATGATAGTGATAAAACCAAAGCAGTCAAAATAAGGTGTAAGAGACAATTATGGAAACTGTAGATTGCTTGATTTTCAATATGAGAATAATAGTTGGAATGACATTACCCCAAAGAGACACGTTTTCATATAGGAAAAATATAGCTGTTGCCTATTGGGAGAGAAAATGTGAGTCATCTCCTAATATCTTGTCATATATCTTCATATAACATTACAGATTAGTCATTAATATAAATAGTTGTCCATCGACTAATAATCAAAATTATCTTAACATAATTTTAGATTTAATGAAAAATAAATTTCTTCTAGAATAAGACGGAGCTGACAGCATATTAATCTATATTTAATTATTTAACCGATGAGAATGAATTTTCACTTGGCACTAAAGCGTACTTATGTGCTATAGTAATTAGTCTTTTTGTGCATAAAAAAAATTTGTTGACAACTATGGATTTATTTTCTAATTTGCGACTTCAAGACTTTAGACCTTGGAGAGAGAGAAAAACAGAAAAACAGACAAAGAAGTTGTAACTCGCCATAAATGTGAAGCTACCTTTTCCTTCCTTGGGAGTTGAATTGAGACAGAAGGCTGAGGAGGATAAGTAGAAAAGCTCTTACTCCTTCTCTCACGCTCTCTCTCTCTCTCTCTCTCTGTACTTTAGGAATGGAAACTGATCACCATATTTTGGTGTTGGAGGAGGAAGAGGAAGTGGAGGAGGAGGCTGCTTTGCAAGGCAGGCAATCAGGACGGCGCAGCAACATTGCCTCCTCCACTGTCATTTCTAGCAATGGAAATGGCAATAGCTACGTGGTTCCTTCTCCGAGTAGCAATAGTGATGGAATTACGACTGCAAATGGAATTGGATATGAATCTCCTAGTAAAGACATTGAGGACGATAATAAATTGCATATTAGTAGCGTTTACTTCGACCAAAGTGATGGTATTATTCTATTCTCCACTTTCCAATTCTGCTGTATTCCTTCATTGCATTTGTTGTTCTCTGTTCTTAATTTTTGATTTACTGATTTCTTAATCAATTGCCTTGCGTTCTCTTTTAGAACTTGTTTATACATCTAAGGAGAGTTTTACTCTTATCATATGTCATCTATTGTTAGCCAACTCGAATCTATGTTGAAAATAAGTCTTAATCTACTTAAGAAAATTTGCCAGGAGCATGTGAGTGTGAGTGATCGATTTCTTGTTTTGGAGATCAAGGTAGGTTCGGTTCACCGGATGTCTTGCTATTTTTCATACTGTATGCTGCAGTTCTGTTACTTCATGTGGAATGGTGTTTCTGAATCATTTCTACTTGGAACATGCGAAATAGAAGCATTGATAAGTATTAGTTCAGTTCTCATAACAAGTTCAACTTTGATACTTTTAATGGAGTAGTAAAAGGTGTATGTGTGTGTGTGACCTCGATTTCACATGTTCAGTTTGCCTACGCGCACCATCTGATGGACCATAGCGTTTCCATGTCTCACTTTGTTCACCAGCTGAATTACGTTGCTGAGTTGCCACCAAAATGTATTTTTAGATTTCTAGCTGATTTCAGGATTTTCTAATTTTAGTTTTATGACGGTCAAAATTTTCTTGTGTCTCACAACATTTTGGCTTCACCTTTGTGCACTTTCTGTAATAATAGTAGCTGATTGAGTTACTATCTGATTGATTTGCTATGAAATTGAAAAAAAAAAAAAATACACTGTTCTATCCAATAAAGAATCCATTTCTTTATGCAACAGAAAAATCATTGAAATTCGTTTCCTTTACCTATAGAGCTCATGTCAAGGAGGGACTTAGCATATTTTCCTGTATGGCTAGTTGTTATATCATTCCAACAGTCTCTGAAGGTTCTCAGTAAAATTTGATGTATGTTAATTCCCAAGACCTGCTTTCATCATGATCACAAACTTTGGTTGGTTGTATAAAGAACTGAAGCTATTAGCAAAATTGATTTTGTTCCACAAACTCTAATTGGTTAAACTTTAAACCCACAGTTGTACTTTGAGTTTGGATGATGTCTGTAAACCTGGTCATCCTGGTTCCAGTTTTAGGATAGAGATTCATTCCAGATGTGAGATCTGCCAAGTAAGGTTATATCTCGGTTAGTTCCCTTAAATTTTTACTGAATCCTAAAGAAAGAAGAAAAAGGAAACCTAAGTCTCATATTAACCAATCGTGAGACTCTCAACTCAAAATTGTGACTAGTTTTCTTATTTATGTTTTATGCGTAATCTGTAGGATTTGGTGTTTTGGCAAATCTTTTGTTACTTTTCCTTGTTTTTGACTGAAGGAATATGGAAATGTTGCCACTGCAATTGGACCTACTGCATGGGAAGTCCGTTGATTGATCTTAATCAGAATCTTAAAGGGTATTTGCACATGCCAATCTTAGATCAGCAGCGACCAAGTTTCAATTTTGAAACTAAAGGTCAGTAGATGCCAAGATTTCTTGGCTGAATGCTAGCAGTTACTGTTAGTGAAAATGCAATTTGCATTGCCCTTAAATTGTGAACAGTCAACCGTCGTAAATTTGTCCACACTATATTGTGAGAAACTAGTCTCTTATCCATGTGGACTAGAGGTAGTGTAAAAGTTAGTAGCCTTCTGTCAGCAGCGTAGCTCTTCTCAGATGGTACACTTGTTTTTTAAATTGCATTAACTGGAAGAATTTCAAATATCTCATTTCTAAATACCAAAATTTTGGATGCCAATTTCTGATTCATGAAGTATATCAAGTATAAGATTATTGTAGGTGCTTGTTGAAAATGAAACTGTTAAGTATGCGATGTTTACTGATATTTCTTTACTGCAAATTTGTAACATTGATATAATCCTCTAATATTCTTCAGATGGATTTCGTACATGTACAATCAACAAAAATCTTGTTTTCTTGTTCCTTGCTTCAAAAATTAAAGGTTTAGCGGCTACTTGGTTGCAGGTACTGAATCTGTTGATGGGGTTTCTCAAATGAAGAATGGTAATTTTCTAAGTTCTGCTTTTATTATGAATTCCAAAGATGTTGACGTCCATGCAAATGTGGAGATTCAGAAAAGCCTCGTTGAGGAAATGAACAATCAATACAGTGAAAATTTAGATGATAAAGGATTATCTGATTCAGGTTTAAAACCTTTAGAGGAGCCACATGATGAACAAAAAATAAAATTGAACTCTTTTAACAATGGAACTGGACTAGTAGATGACTTAATAGAAGAAACTGACCAGGAAGTGACAGAATTTGATGTTGAGAGAGTGTTAGAGAAGCAAAATACTCATGATTTGTACTGCCCAAACTGTAATTCTTGTATTACTAGACGAGTTATCCTCCGTAGAAGAAAACAAAAAATTCGAAGTTTACGTCGTAAACCAAAGCACAATAAAGTGGACACAGTTTTGTGCTCTGATTTGGATGCCAATTCTACCAATTCAGTCAATGTGCAAGTTCATGACTCAGTTAACCTTCATCCAAGAGGTAGTCCTGAGGGTACAGCCAATGATTACAATGGAGACAGGGAACCAGAGATATTCAGATGCTTATCATGCTTCAGCTTTTTCATACCTACAGGTACTGATGTTATCCTTCTTGTGTAAAGAACTCTGCCTTATGTTTAATCTTCTTAATATCTTAGCAATAGCAGCTATTTTTAAGGACGGTGAATGTCTGCATTCCTCAAGATTTTTAGAGATTTTCAACATCAAATAAGCAAGCCTATCAATGTGGGATTATTGTTATTCCTATGTTAAAAAGTATCACATCTAATTTCTTGTCATCTAACTTTATCTTCACATTAATTGTTGTCAAATCGTATTATTTGCTCTTGTAAGAGGACTTTAGAGGGTTCTGCAAACAATTTTGCTTGGTTGGCAATATGGAAGTTGGAGAATCAACTCAACTAAACAAAATATCCCAAATTAGTTGGGGTCAACCATATGAACTTTTTTTTCTTTCATTCCACTTGATTTAGGGCTGCCAAAAGTCTCTGCCACTATTCCCAACATCATTCTAGTACCTTTCATTTTCTTTTTCTCTTCCAACTTCAATATCCTCAACCTTCTATATGGGTATATTTGCTACCATATGATGCTTGTGTCCAAATCATTTCAATCTCCTTTCTCGCAACTTTCCTTAGGTGCCACATCACCTTCCTACAAATGCTTACATTCATTATTGTTCACATCACCGTCCATTTTGTAACATTAATATTGCATGCCTATAAGTGCATTACTTGTAACTATTTTCTTTCTTTATACGATATTATGATCCTCATTCTTCATAGAATTTGCCACTCATCTTCGTTTAGTTAATATTAGACAACATTCCTCATGTAATGCATCATATTGAAATTTTCCATTCAAAATAAGTTTTTACTTCTTGAACTTGGACCTTGGACATGACAAGTAGCTAAGTGGACCAAATGTTCTGCCCTTAGGCTTTTTATTAATTGAATCATGCTTAACATTTAATCTTTCAATGGCCTCCATTTCTTGTTTTCTGGTTCACACTTCAAAAGGAATACAAAAAACAATGAACTTGTTAGTAACCAAAGATTCCTTTCCTTCTCTCTCATTTTGTTTTTTGTTTTTGTTTTCCCTTTTTTCCTTTGCGTATAAAATGAAGCTGTTCTACCAATTTGTTAATGCTTCAATATGCTTTCAGAATTGGAGTGCATTACTTTGCTTCCTAATTCAGAGTATTGCTTTATTCATCTACTTTGTGAAGCTTAACTATTTTGTCAAATTTGACAGGAGGTGGTTTTAAATTGTTTCGTCTTTTTGGAGGTAGCCCTGAAGATAAAAATGTGCAAAGTCTTCAAAGCCATGAAAATGAAAATGTTCAAAGTCTTCAAATGAAACATGCAACAGAGAGAAATTGGTTCTTTTCCATGTTTGCAGGATATAAAAATAACATGATTACTGAACCAGGTATGATTTGGCTTCCATCCATTGAAGATATACTTAATAACACAGTGATTATGTTTACACATCTTTCTGCTTTATGTTGTAATAATGTCCTTGCGGATTAGACCATTCTTTCTTCATGACATGGAGTTTCATGTCACCCAATATGGTCTAGTTAGTGAAAAATGCTAATCTTATTACTGAGATATTTAACATCTTGAAAAGTAATATTTAAAGGTTAACACAATGGATTCAAGGAAATACTTTAGATGATATGAAAGTAGATCATATGAAGGTGAAATATGAATTAGTTTCTGGAAAAACTATCAATACAGAGTGGGGGATAAAAGAAAGAAAGAAAGAGAAATATTATGAAACTCTTCTACTTAAAATGAGTTTTTAGCTTGCATACTCTCTTATCATTTGTTGTATGCATCTTTTCATCTGCATATAAGCCTTTGAAAAAAATAAAAAAGATGGTTAATTCAAGGTATCTACAATGCAAGTTATCTTTTACTTTGAAGCATTCTGTTATGGAGTTGCCGCATCTGCTGCTGTATTTAGTGTAATATTTACTTAGGGGGCATTTGGTTCTGCTGTTTCATGGAGCTGATAGTTGTTACACATACGACGTAGCACACCCAACAGCTACGTTGTATGTGTTTGGAAAGTTTCAGCTGCTGATAGCTCATGGAAGTCTCAATCAGCTGCAATTTTCATCAGCTAAGTTTTGGAGCTTTTTCATATCAGCTGGTAGCTGATTCCTATTTATATTACTTTGGACTTCATTAACCTCATAAAAGTAATTGCTAATAAATTGTTTTTTCAAATTGATATCTTTTTTATGATCATTTTATTTGTAGTTATTTAAAAATGATTTCTTTAAAATATTATTTTAAAATTTTTAATCATTATTTTATTAACATAATACATTAAAATAACATATTCACCTTAAATTTATATTAATAAAATTGTTTTTTTTCAAATTGATATCTTTTTTATGATCATTTTATTTTGTAGTTATTTAAATGATTTCTTTTAAAAATATTATTTTTTTTAAAATCTTTTAATCATTATTTTATAACATATACATAAAAATAACATATTCACCTTAAATTATATATAATACTAATATATATTATATATATATATTATTATATAGAGAATGAAGGATTTGGGGCTGGGGTTTGCGATTGGAATCTTAGGTCGAAGTACTTCTTTGTCCTCGATTTGGTCTTCATATATATTATACATAATATAGAGAATGAAGGATTTGGGGCTGGGGTTGATGATCTTAGGTCGAAGTACTTCTTGTCCCTCGATTTGTCTTCATATATATTATACATCATAATATAGAAAAACAATTACTCCTTTAATAGTCATTTTATATTTTAACAGCAACCACTACCAACGATTTACCAAACATGAATAGTAATCAGCTAACCGCTATCAGCAACTACTATCAGCTATCATCTGGTACAAACCGTTAAACCAAATGGGCCCTTAGTATTCCATTCTTTTGTTTTCCCATGTGTTGCTAAGAAGGTTAGAATCAGTTTCTTTATTGGTTGGTGGTGGTTGTACAAGTTCTTTATGGTAGTGGGAAGTTATTTTATTGTAGTGGGTAGTTATAAGTCTTTAGGTTCATTTAGTTGTTTAAAAGGTTGTGGAGTAATGACGATGTAAGCATAATTTTAAAAGAGATTGGAGTTTCTAAAACTCGGATCATAGAGTTATCTCAAACAGGTTCTAAGGATCAACTATTACAAAGTTGATGTACTAATGGTCCGTATAGGTATGTGGAATTATTATGTTACTTGAAGATTCTTGGCACAAGGCTGTGGGTAATTGGTCTAGATTGCCATGGGATTTTGGTCTATAAACCCTTGTCTTTATTACTCACATTATGTTCATGCTGTCGCGCCCAAGTGCTCTTTGTTTCATGTTCATGTCCGCCCCCTTACCTCAAAAAACTGAAGGACCTAATTTGGAGCATAACCCAAACACACTTTTCTTGATTCCGTTGTAAGCTTTGGAGCTGTTTTACTCCATTCCAAACAATTAGTATTAATAGTTCTTGAAATAGACTTTTCCACAGCAGGAAATGAGATATATCTAATCAGCTTGTCACTCCTTTTGCTCCTCCACTACAGCCTCAGTAAATGATTTGGGGAGTGCACACCAAGATGCTAGAAAGAAGGTTGCAAGTTCTTCAACAGGAGATAATACATATTTTGAAAATGCGTCAACCAGCATTGGAGAGAAACCAAAAAATGCAACTGAACAAGCTAATACAGGTATGAAAATTCTTTTTCCTGGTGCACATGTCCAGTTACATATGTAATATGCCTTGTTGGGTACTGGCCTGTTTAATGCTTAATCAAGTTTTCAGGAGATGACTCATACCATAAAGGAAATAATTTAATCATATGCCTATTACTATAATAAATGGCCATCAATTTATTTTCCAAGATTTACCATTTCTTGAAAAGACAAGTGGTTTTCCATTTACCTATTATTCAGGTTTCAGGAATGACCTAGCAGTTCAAGATTAATTGCCACCCTGCTAATCATCATCTCCAGAATGAGATCCTCATTTTTCCATTTCTCAATGTAATTTTATCCACCTTGTGGCTTGTGAGATTGTGAAGTGGCATTGACATGCACTTTTATCTTGATCCAAGGTTGTTTTGCATTTGCTGTTTCACATGTGTGTGTGTGTGTGTGTGTGTGTGTTTAAGCTGTGTCTATACATGCATGTCAATGTTTTCTAGTGTACGTTAATGCTTCCAAATTCTGGGGACTTGGTATTTATAACTGTTCTTATTAAAATTAATATCAAATCCAGCTTTTTTGCATTTTTGTTGTCAATAAATTTACCAATCTGTCTGTGTGCTCCTTTAATATTTATGAGAGTAGATATTTTCTTTGGAATTTGATATTGTATGAGATTGAACTGGGGTGTAGTTAAGGTACTTCCACTCATCTCTCAGATGACTGGCAAAATGCATTGCAGCATTGCACATTTTTTTACAATTGGTATGCATGGAACAATACCATAATGCATGCTGTTAAACATTTTAACTGATAATGTTTTACAGACATTGTAGATCAACATAAGAAAGGTCATTTAGCAACTCGCATTCCAGGGATCAGTATTAATGCTGGAGAACCTGCTGAAGATGCCTCGTTGGGACCTCTGCAGGGTGAAGTGAATCCTAAAATGGCTTCATCGTACAAGTCTTTAATACCTGAGCATTCACAGCTAGAGATAGACAGGAAAATCAACATAGCTATGCCAGAAGAACGACCTGTTCAAAATGATCAAGCCTCAGTAGTACTAGGCGCTCCCTTGCCCTCACAATTGCATGGTAAAGGAGAAATTCTAAATGATTCAGCAGTTGTACACCATGAATCTAGAAAAGATGCTATGTCTTCTTCAATCCAAGAAACTTTAGTTCTTGAAAAACGGAAAATTGGTGTTGGAGAGACAGTATTTGGTTCTGCAGAAAAGAACACAGGTATGTACAAAATTGCAGGGTCTTGCATGAAAGTGACCATCTAGAATCTTTCTAGTGGCAGACAAAATGATTTCAAAATGTGAATCTTCTTTCTTAGATACGGTTGTCTCTTTAAATTATCAATGCCTCTGGCTGATTCGCACACTTAATGAAATCTTTTTAAGCTACTTATGAACTTATATTACATGACGAGCCAGTCATAATGTTCATATGTATTAGGCATATGATTCATATTTCCATTCCACATACTTCATACTTGATAAATGACTGATGAAAATATAGTCATCTCCATCTTCATTTGAATTGTAGTGATGCTTCATAATTAGGAATGTAACTTGATCCTTGTGAAATTTCATGCCTAGGATACACGAAAGTTTAATGCTATCATGTTGTCAAATAATCTCGTGACTATGATAACAATCTCAGATTGTTTGCCATTGTGCAATCTAGTTATTAATTATTCTAATGCTTCCTTCTAGCAATCTTTTATATGTGTATGTAGATATGTGGCGTCGGGCTTCTTAGTTGTTAGATTGATTTGACATGACCATATGATGCAGGGAGTGATGTGATAGTTATTGTTGAAACAAAAGAACTGGAACCTGCAACAGCTTCTCTGGGGGCACAAAATATTGATGATCGAACTGAAGCCACAAGCTTGCTAGAAACTGGGACTCAGACATATGTCAGAGAGCAAATTGGTACTGGACTTACTGTGGATATCTTGAAAAGCATTGTTTATGGTGGTTTAATAGAATCCATCACAAGTCTAGGCATTGTGTCGTCTGCAGCTGCTGCTGGTTCTGCTACATGTAAGCATTATTTTGCTTTAACTGGATGCTACTCTACAGTAAATAACAAATTAACTAAACAGTATTATCTAGTTTTATTAGGTTCAACTATATTATTATCTTATGGTATGTGAGACACTTCAATGCGCTTCGCTAAGGTATTGGGTCATAAACGACTATAGATGTTCATATTTCTTATATGTGAAACATTGTAGTTAAAGTTTCAAAACCTTGCCAAATTTGGCTAATGACTGATGTGTTTATACATCTACATGTCTTCTAAGATAAGAAAACTCTTTTTACTACGAAACCTCGTGCTTTTCATTGGATTCCATAAAATAAAAATTTAAATTATAATCACTTCATGCTATTTTACTGGATGACATATGAATTAAGATTCGGCTAATTCCAGCTTCCTGAGATGCTATCCTTTCATTTACAGTAAAAATAATTTGCTTCTATTTATATATATACATTAGCGACTTCTCAGTGAAGGTATTGGGTCTATAATCACGGACTAATAGATGTTTCATATTTCTTATTATGTGACAACCATCAGTGTATGTGTATAACTCAGTGTTAAAAACACTTGCCCAAATATAGTGATTGGAAGCGTATTATGACCTTCTTGTGTGTTTATACATCTACATGTCTTCTAAGAAAGGAAAACTCTTTTTACCTATCGGAAACCTCGTGCTTTTCATTTGAATTCCATAGAAGAAAAAATTTTAAATTATAATCACATTCCCATGCTATTTTTCTAGCGCGACTCATGAACTATGGTGGATGAATTAAGATTCGGCCTAATTCCCCAGCTTCCTGGTGCCCCTATCCTTTCATTTACCCTAGGTAAAACACGTAAAATTCTGCTAACGTGTTTGTCTTTAATATAGTTTTTATTTCCGGGTTAATTGAAGACTAAAAGACTAAAACACATCCTATCTACTAGTACTTGGGTATGATATATACTTATACATCAATATATATTTAAAATACATATTACATAATATTATTATTTTTCAAAATCACAATCCCCTTTGCTTTTTGTGATTTTTTGACTGAGTAATTTTAAATGAGTCATAGCGACATATGTAAGAACTATATAAATCATATATGTATATATATTTAAAAATCCCCTCTTTTGTATTTTTGAAGTAATTTAAATGCATAGCGACATGAAACTTTGTTGACCTTTGATTCCGCAGTAAACATTTTAGCTCTGGGATTGGCGAATGTGATTGGAGGACTTTTCATCATTGGTCACAATGTGAGTGATATTTCCATGTCTTCACTTCTGAAATCAGCAATACATGTAACAGTTCTGTGTTGATCAATTTTATAAAGAATCATTATAATATAATATTAACAATTAAAAGGCAAATGTTAAGCGGCATTGACAAAAAGAGTTGGACCTTTGCTTTATCTTACACTTGATATCATGATAGGTATAATTAAAATGCAGCATGTTCCTTTCATGTTCATTTTATTGCAATTTAAACTTGAAGAACTATGATATTTACAGCTTCTGGAGCTAAAAAATGATACCTCTGGCGGGACTTCTGATCAAATGTACGAACCCAAGGACCGGTACCATGAAACATTAGGACGGCGAGAGAATTTTTTACTTCATGCAACAGTAGTTATTATATCATTCCTCATTTTCGGGATGTTGCCTCCTGTCATATATGGATTCTCATTTCATAAGAGTGATAATAAAGATCTCAAGCTTGCAGTGGTTGGAGGTGCTTCGCTTATATGTATTATGTTACTTGCTATTGGAAAGGCTCATGTTCGGCGACGACCAAAATCTTATATAAGCACTGTGCTCTATCATGTGGTGATTGGAGTCATGGCGTCTGGCGCTTGTTATATAGCAGGCGACCTAATTGGTAAGTTGCTGGAGAAAACTGGTTGGTCTGGTTCGAGTTTATCGGTTGCCATGACTTTTCCTGAGACAAAACCAATTGACCGAACATGGGCATCTTATTAGAGAAGGTGAAGCAAGTTGAGTTGTTCATTGTGCTTTTAAACAGTATTGTCATCGAGCCACTGGCAATATAACGTTTTTTTTTTTTTTTATTTATAATGTTCTTTTCAAATAATGGGAAGATTAAATTTTGCTCCATTCTGTTTGTCTTTTTCTTTTCCTCTCCTTTTGAAGTCTTTGCGCACATTTTAATACATTTTATAATCTCGGAGCGTAGACAGGGTTATACAAGTTACTGCCAAACTCTTGAGATGACAATTAGCTATAGGAATTTCCAATTTAAAATTTATGTAATTAAACGAGTTAGTTTTAAATTGAAAAATCTAAATAAATTAGTTTTTACGAACCTAAAATTATAAAATTCGAAAACATCCGTACAAATGGGCAGCTTTTATATGTGCCTTCATTTTTTTTTTTTTTTTTTTTTTCGACTTTTATAATCGCTCGCGGAGGAAGGCTCGTGAGGACAGGTTTATGTATAAGTGTTATTGACTAAAGTTACTGCCCCAAAGCTCTTTGATATTTGTGAGTTCTGCATATATTAGCATTGTGTTAGGATATTTTCTGCAATTTATAAAAAATTATGTTTAAATTATCAACCGCGAAGCGTTAAGTTATTTAATTTGATGAAAATCTAAATTAAATTCGGTTTTTTTACGATACCATTAAAAATTATTAAGTCTATAAAATTCGAAAAACCATCTTCGATAACAAATCTAGTGGGCAGTCTTTATTATGTGTATCATTGGCCCGCCTTCAATTGTCTCTCTATATATTATTTTTATGAACTATTTTCTCGCAACTTGTAGAAATTTTCGAGAATACCTCTATAAGGTTAGAAGCAAGAAGGTTTCAATCTCCCTATACGCTTGGCGCTTGTTTATACTCTTTATGTAGAGCAGATTTTCTTGATGTGGTTTTAAATAAAATGTTTGAACCGTACCTTAAGTATATATTATTGTAAATTATATATAATATATCCATTATTGAATATATGTTATCTCTGACTAGTTAACGGGTCATAGGTGTATTACAAACATATCATCTAAACATAGTCGGGAACTAAATTTATCTTCCAGTAATAATTTTTCAACCATAATGGGAATATAAAAAGAGCTTATTAAGAAGTCGTTTACAAAACCAAGTCTATATTTAAACATTAGTGTCTTTGTGAAAATATGCAAACATAGGTATGCTCAGCATCTCTCATCCGCGAGTTTACTATATATATCTCATAGGTTAACGGGTCATAGGTTATTACAACATATACCAAACAGGTACTAAATTTATCTCCAGTAATAATTTTCAACCATAAGGGAAATAAAAGCTTTAAGTCGTTTACAAAACAAGCTCTATATTAAACATAGTTTGTGAAATTGCAAACATGGTACAGCTCTCACCCAGTTTTTGAATGAGCCCACCAGTGCACATTACAGATAGAAAGAATACATCAGCAGCCACTAAAATCTATGGATAAATTTAGATAACAAATTTTCAATCACAATATGTACATAATTGTTAAATATCTAAACAAAATTGTCTGTCAGGATATTTATAGATCAGCTGAGTTGTGGTTCTCTTATAACAAACACAGATAAGTACAGTATTCCACATCATCTACAATATTGCCCTTTGTAACTCTGGCCTGTCTATCATAAAACATGAACCCACAAAAAGTAGCTGCTGTTAAGCTTCTTCTTCACTGAATATCCGAGTTCCGCTCTTAAATACTAGTAGATCTTTCATTTGTGTATAACTCCGAAGCTTCTTTGATAACGAACACGGGTTAGTATGGTGTCCAACATCATCTATATTGCCCCTGTAAATCCATAAAAAGTAGCTGTGGTTATGCTTCTTCTTTACTGAAGATCCGAGTTCCACTCTTAGATAGCAGTAGATCTTTCATTTCTCTATAGCTCCTAAGCTCTTCTAGTCCATCTGCTATCTTTCGAGGCATAAAGAATCCAGAAGCTGTGGCAATCCCTTCATCTAAGTCAGTCCTCATAGAATGGGATGAGTAACAACTTGGATCTTGACGCAGAGGAGGTGCTGTTCTCAGCATGCGCACAAGAACACCAACTGCAGCATCTTGAGATTTTTTGCCCATTAGCACAGATTGTGGGGTGAACCCCGAATTCCTATTCCCATCAAAGTTTTGACTGCATACCAGAAAAGAAAATGCTAGATCATGATTATGATGATGATTATGATAACAAAATAGAACAATATGAATTATAAACAGGAAGCAAAAGTTTATGGAGTCAGAACATTAAGCTTCAAGGTGAAATATCCTGCCTCCAGCCTCCTTATTTATTATTAGGTTCCTCAAAGGCTCAAACAAATGAAATTGCAATCAATTGAATTCACATTACAATGGAAAAAGAACTTGAAAATAGTTCCATCATGTTAATTTAAAAGATAACCAAGACATGAGACACATGCCATAGTTCGAGTTTATCTCTTTATGTTATATGAGAGCCATAATTTGACATTTCCATAGTTCAAGTTTCAATGAAACAAACAAGCTATAGAATTCAAAAAGAACCAAAAACCAAAAAAAAAAAAAAATGAGGGAAGAAAAAGAATTAATGAATTCTGAACATTTTATGCACGCAAAAGTTCATGCCGATACGAAGTTATTTACAAGAAATTGTCAATGCTGATCAACCTTGGAATCCTAAAGTGAAAATGAGTATAATTCTCATGTCGATGATGCTAACTCTTAAAAGATTGAGGCTTCAAAAATAATAACATTAAGATTGGATCACGCTACTCAAACAAGAAAACCTACCAGAAACAAGTGAGAAAGTAATGAGCATGCAATGGCTATATAACCAATAAAAAGAGAGCAAAGCTGAATATTGGCAAAGCCCAGAATTTTTTGAAGAATGGCCCGACAGGTTATCCATGAGAATAGCTACTTTTTATGAGGTACCGGCAGCTAATTAGGCTAAAGCATTACCACTTGCATTGACAAAAGGAAAATACAAATGTATGGGAACTTTTGAGATTTTCAGATTTTATTCAGAGGTTAATAGATTTTTTACTATGCATGCAGTCAACCTACTAAATTTTGGTTTTCTTTAGGTTTTCATTGGGGTCTTGACTATCCTTGACTCTGTCCTTGGCATAACACTATTTTGCGCTTGCAAGATATGGTAATTGGACTTCCATCTCCGCTGATCATTTTAAATCTGTTTGGAATTTGAATGTTGAGATTGATGCAATAGATTTAGCTAAACCAAGCGGCATATTGAGATTCACCAAAACAAAAGCATTCTTGTCCAAAATTCTGAGATAGTTTAAGAAAATATAGTTCAATTACAAGCTCCGAGAACTTTTCAGTGTTTTCAATGATGAAACGCAAGATTCCTTCAGGGACTTGATCAGAAAGGTATAATAAGGATAAGAAAAGAATCCATCAGTGGTATTGTTCACATATGCTACCTAACAACCCCAAGTTTATCACATTTTTTCCAATGCGGAAAAATCCCGCACATTGTAGAGATCATCTTGTTATCAAGTACTATAATAACTTTCTATTAAACCCTGCAATAAGTTTCTTAATACTGACAATTGTTGCCACAACCTTCACCTAGAAAAATTATGATTTTGAAAGTGAGGGAGTAAACAAGTAAGAAATAAGACTCAGTTTATGGAAACAAACACAAAAAAAAAAAAAAAAAAAAAAAAAAAAAAAAAAAAAAAAAAAAAAAAACATAAAAAAAAATAAAAAAAAAAAAAAAAAAAAAAAAAAAAAAAAAAAAAAAAAAAAAAAAAAAAAAAAAAAAAAATCCTGTTTTCATCACCCTACAATTGAAGAATATGAACTTGAAATGAAGAAAGACTCAAATAGGACAGAACAAGGAAATACACGGACAAATTTTGACAATTTTAGGAAGTCAATCTCTATAGTTTGGCAAATATTGATAGAAAGGCAACTTAATCTATCTGTACATTCTTCTTCTCTACCACATACTATGTAGATGATATACATTTTGCTTCAACACACATTATATTTTCTCTGAATATAACAAAAATTTGAAAATCCAAGAATTAGCCATCTGTTGATTTCAGAATAATCATAGAATTTCAAAATCCACTATATAAAATCAATATGAGAGCTCCTTATTTGGAAAATATGATCGATTGAGAAGATACAAGAAGTCATGATTTTTTACTTTGATTCAAACAATTAATTCGAAAAGGGCCAACAACCAAAAAAAGAACCGAAACCTTTTCAAAAGGATGTAATTGTACTCTAGCCTTCCGAATAGACTATTTTTACCCTAACCTTTAAAGACTCGTTGCATTTATACGCACTAGATCAAACTTACACCTTTTTTTTTTTTTTTTTTTTTTTTTTTTTTTTTTTTTTTTTTTTTTTTTTTTTTTTTTTTTTTTTTTTTTTTTTTTTTTGCAATTGATGAAGAGTTATGCTAGATTTAGTTTGAAAGTCAATGGTAGGAGAAAAAAAAAAAGATAGGTACAATAGGTTACTTTTCATTTTAATTATGATGAAATGAAATGGTATAAATTATGAGGAATTATAAATGTTACAATAAAATGGCGATTTTTGGAAGGTCTCATACAACTGAAATTTTCTTGAAAAGCTTTTTCTTTTTTCCCCTTTTATTTTCAGCCATTAGGCCACTTGAAACTGATGGCTGCAGTTTCAGCCTTGCAGAGCAAACATACAAAAGCTTTGGTGATCTAGATAAAATCTAGCAAAAAAGTCAAAGTAGAACACAAAAAAATGACTACAAATTGGCGTCACCAACATGAAGCAAATTCCAGATATGAATGATGAGTCAAGATAGAAAGTGCAACAATTAATGATTTCTGAGAAAATTGAATGAAAAATGCCTTTCTGAATGGTTTGAGTTGGAAGAAAGTCATTTGAAATACAATGCCATGATAAAAATTTGAATATAAATGGCAGCAGACTAATGATAGTGACTTATAGAAAGGCACGGAGGAACGAATTGATTGATGATAAAGATTTTCTCTTTTTTTTTTTTTTAAATTCTAATCTTTCATCCACACAGGTAAAGTTCAAGGATAATATTTTCTTTTTCTCCATATAAGTTGTCTTTCCGTATGTCTGTTCCTTTGTCTGTTGCTGCAAGAGCAGTGCAATATCACTCAAGACCTATGATCTCCACCCAAACTCCCACCAACCCAACTACCTGAGCTGAGCATGCAGCAAAGGTTTTGCATGCATTCTAGTAAAACAGTAGCAAGCGTATAAAGAGATTCAAAAGGAAATACCCAATCAATGCAGTAGAGCTCTTTACTAGCAGAGCATGCTGGCATCAATATCACCAATAGGTATTTAGTCAACCAATAACTTCATTATACTCAGTCAGACAATATAAGATTTACCTGATTGATACAAAGAAAAATGATGGAAATGTAAGTACCTGGTAGGTGAATCTGATGTATCAACGTCATCAACATCAAAAGGACATGAAAAGTCACCATCATCCAAGTCATCCTGGAAAGATAATCTACTAGAACTTCTAGAAAATCCGATTCGTGGTGATCCACTCGAAGATAACAATCCTGAGAAGCGCCCTGAATCATCTTTGGCATCTTTGAGAATCTATAAATAATTAAAAATGTCTTATGAACGAGCATAAAATAAGATGATTGAAGTTTATGAGTACAAAACATCATAAAGCAAGGTGAAAAAGACGATGGCTACCTTATGACCAGAATAATGATTTGTTATGCCAGAGTTTAACTCTCCAGCCCTTAAAGCTTCTAATCTCTTGATTGAATGTATTCCAGATGGAGACTCCTGGGATGAAAGATCATGCCTTGTGCTCCTAGGAGATAATGGTGGAAGTGAACTTTTACTTGGGTCAGAAAAGTTTGGAGAAGTGTATCTAGAACTTCTGCCAGTCATTGGAAGGGGGATAGTAACAGGGGCAGTTTCTGAAGTATTATGAGTCTGCACACGATTAATATTGGGGAAGTATGTCGGGGTGGACGGGGACATAGATGGCGAGAATGGAGGTGACAGCTGATACTCATCATAAACAGTAGCTTTCTGATGAGTTGGTGGTCTAAAGCTCTGAACTCTATAACCATGAGTATCTGCAGGAGGAGATGGAAAATCATATGGCATGGTAGATGCACGATATGCAGGAGGAGATCCACCAAAGGGTTGGTTCACCGTAAAAGGAGCACCTCTGTGGAAGCCACTTGTCCAGCTATGTGGACGTTGGAAAGGAGTAGAATTGGGTGGCCGTAATCCTCTTAACGGAAAGGATGTAGCACGAATTCCTTTCTCTGAAGAAGGAAAAGACCTGAGAGGGTCGGTGGTAGGGCTACCAACATAATCTGTTATGATCTTTGGCGGGAATGTTGCCATAGTCTCAAGGTTAAAATCAGATAGTGATGGACGATAAGTCACCAATATAGAAAGGTGGCCAGGAAGGGCATCTACAGGAACAAAACTGTATTCTTTCATTGTTTCCCCCTCTAACCTAGAAAATGGTTCACAAAGTGAAGAAACCTTATAGATGATATCAAAATTACATGTTTGAGTAGATGAGCTTAGTTGCCGAAAAATCCGATAAGCTGGAAAAAGCCTCATTTGTGAATAAAGAGAACGTAAAAGTATGATTGACTTCTTATATGTCTTCTTATAAGAGGCAGAACTTTCCACAGCTTGGGGAGCCATAACGCGGAGGGTCTTATACTGAACTATCCACCTTTCTATAACTGTTTCAACAGTTTTCCCCTCAGATGAAGAAGTGTACAGATTGTCCACTGATGAAGAATTAGCCCCTCCATGAACAAGTATTATGTCGATTATCATTGGGTCCATTAGATTTCTTTGCCAGAAGTTCAAGTTATCTAAAGGTGGTGGACGATCTCCTAAAACTAAATTGAACCATTTGTCACTCTTTCTAACCCCAGAACTGGATTGACTTTGAAAGTCAAGATTACGATCATGCTGATGAAAAGAAGGAATTCTAGAGTCCAAAATGATGTGCAAGCTCTTCAATAGAAACTGAGAGACAATTTGCTCCAGTTTCCCGGATTCCGTATGAGAATTACTATGCAAGTCCATAGTTCAAATTATATGATCAATCCATACCAAATTCAAATGATGAAAATCAGGTAAACAAAAAGATCAACCCATGGACATATATATGATGGTGTAGTTGCAGAGGCCATGAGAAAGGCAGCCCCTAAAAGTAAGAGCAAAATCAGAGACCCAATAAACAATTCCCAGATCAAGAAATAAAGCAGATCAAAATCGAAAACTTGAAAGACATGAATTAATTTATAAAAGACAAACACCCACATAACAATAATAATAATAATAATAATAATAATAATAATAAAAGAGATCAAGCAACTAAAAACAAAAATTTTCCAAGAAAACTTACAGTGAAAAGGGCGAAAAAAGAAGAGACGATGATGGAAGTGAATTCAAGCAAGGCCAAATAGCGAGAGACGTGAAACGATCAAACACAGCAACAGTGGTTGATCTACCAATTCCAGATTGATTGCGTAAAGCAAAAAGAGAGATTAGAGTCTCTCTGTCTGTTTGATTGGATTAATTAGTTGTAAAGTGAAGGATAGAAACAACAGAATGAAGAGGTTTCCTTCCAGTTTGAGCATCAAATGATAACAGCAAACAACAACTCCTCCACTCTCCCATTGATCTCCTCATACCCAAACTCTCTCTCGCCTATAATTGGATTATTACACTCTTTTTATAAACATTATTTACCCTATTCCTCATAGATAATAGTTTTTTTTTTTTTTTTTTTTAGTTTTTTTCTTTTTTTATTTTGACACTTCATAGATATTCATAATCCATAGATAGGATCTACTTATTAATTTATTATTATCTATATTAATTTGATAGCTTATAAGATGTTAAAATGTTGGTAATGTCAATCGGATACGCGGCGAAGCAACTTTTTTTTTTTTTTTTTTTGACACTTCATAGATATTCATAATCATAGATAGATCTATTATTAATTTATTATTATTATTATTATTATATTAAAGATGTTAAAATGTTTGGTAATCAATGGAACGGCGACATCTTTATCCTTTTTGTTGTTCCCATTTCATTTGTCAAGAGGAGAAATTATTATTTAGTATCTTTATTATGGAAAAATATATTAATTGTTGTCTATATTTTTAAAAATTATTATTATTTTTTTTTAATTTAGAGCCTATTGTCAAAGTGAAATCTCCACAGCCTAGCGAAGCATAGTTAGTCTCAAACATGGGAAAAAAAAGGGAAGGGTTGTAGAAGGTCGATGACCAACTTAAAGTCAATCAAACACACATTATGAATCATTTGATTACATTGGACATAGTTGAGATATGTCCACTTTGGCATGAACTACATCCGCACATGGATCTAATATTAAATGCCCAAGTGTGGGGAAGTATAAACAATATTTCTCAAACAATGGAAGGGTGTGCGTAAAGAAGCTAGTCCCGCCACATTGGAGTCATATGTGGGATTAGATAGAAAAGGGTTGAAATGCTTATTGTCTCGTCTCACAGGATACGGATGACACATTTTGTGCCGGAGGTACAAAATTAAATATTGCTAAAATTATAACTCTATTGAAGATACATTATGTAATCTTATATATAAATTAATATAGAATCCTCCAAATGTGATTTAGAAAATTTTAGAAAATCGTATGAAAAACTGTAAGATTTTCACTATATGATAATTATCTCAAATTTTAAAATTTGTTAATATACTTCTAAAATCACCATTCATCACAATTAAACTTCATAATCTCATCTCAACATCAATACTCAATCATCATCAACATAATCTCATCAAAGATCACTAAAGCTTAAATACTTATATACATTTCAAATTCTCGAAGCATACTTAATATTTATACATGTCATAATATTCGAACCAAAAGAACTGAATGTAATAATTTCTCCAAATAAATAATACATCTCCATTTAAATATATATACATGTCATGGATATTACAACAGAACCAATAAGAATATACAATGATTCTAAAGCTATCAATTGAGATCTTCTGCTTTAAAGCAATCTTCTAATCTCTCATCAGCAACCACCATCTACTACCTGCGCATGATAAAATCAATGCACTAAATAATAATACTTAGTGAGTGGTGCTTTATAACCCCCAAATGGCGTAAGAGGGATTCACACACAAGCATCCAATAAGCGTAATAATATAATTCATTCAAGACAATCCAAGTTATTCAAAAGCATACATCATATTATCTTTTCAAATAATTTTCAGCCAACGAATTTCTCATAATATACCATGAAAATCATAAAAGTGCCATTCATAACCCATAAACATATTTTCTTCATATTTTCAAGAATAACATATATGAATTCATTCCTTATTTAATCATTTTCACATTCTACTCACGTAGCTATACAAGTTCAAGTATTTACATCATAATTCACATGTCTTAGTATTTTCTAAAAACATAAATCTTATTCTTAAATATTTACTAATTCCTTTATACTCAACATGATATGATTCTTTATTCATACTACAAAGGCAATCAACAATCATACAACAATATACTTCTATTTCATATTACTTAAGTACTTAATAGTTAATCAAGTACCATTTATAATTTTTTGATAAACATTAGTTACAATACATCAAGAAATCATAAAAATAAAGGCAATTGTAATTCATTTACTCAATGTAAATATACTTTCACGTAACTATATTATTTCATGTTTTATTTATCAAAAACACATTCTTTGTTTATTTTTATGGTATTTCACATAAGTAAACATAATTCATGAATCAAGACATTTTTTAAACATAATTATTATCCATAAAATATCTTACTTATTTAGATATCTAGAATACTTAGAAGGATCAAATAGTAGACGAATGAAATTATACTTACACATAGGGCTCAAATACCGACTCAAAAGTCTTAAGATAAATATGGAAGCACATTAGCTTAAACATAATAACAATAAGATACCCATATGTCTAGATTCAGAATTATATACATCGGATCTCTGGAATAGATGTACTGAAAAATATGATACGACATGTCACACCCTTATACCACTCATGACACAACCAAGTAAACTAGGGACTTAAAATCATTTCTTCAATCAATTCATTACTCATAGCATAATCAAAATCTCCTAATTAGATTTTATGGATTAAGTCACATATATAATCCGTCATGATTCATACTTTTATTTCTTTCATGAAATTTTCTTACTTTTCAAGTCTCATATCAAAAATCTCATATTAAGTGAAATTCAACATCTTTTATTCATAAACATGATTTGGCATACAAAAAATATTCTATAATTCATTTCTCAAAGTATTTAATCATAAATCTGTTTTCGTACCGCCCCGGAGCGATCCGAAGAACGCCTCTTTTTGTTTTTGATGGAAAATGATCTTATTTTGAACAGTGGTCACAAAACATTTTATTGGATACGATGCCGATAAATTGGTCTTATAAAAGGATACTGATGCCGATAAATTGGGTCTATAAAACTTTTTGGATCGTCCACCCATATTTCGGTATGGGACGTTTCCAATTGTTATATAACAGAACTTCCATTTAAAACCCGAGCTTTATCAACAGGCCGAAACTATTAGAAAACTGGTGAGGAGCAATAATCGCGATTTCTGGGTAAAGGGAATTGGTACGCTGGCCCGTTGGAAGCCACCCGGAAAAACCGGCCTCGTTTTTAATCTATGATTCCTTAATTTATTAGTTAGAAAACCATAATATTTATTTTACTTAACCAACCGAATAAACGGACGAGTTCTTATATAGAAAATTACATTAGAATCGTCCCAAATCAATCGCCAATCATTGCATCTCATAATCACCCAAAATCCAAACCAATAGCAAGTTAAATCAATAAATAAAGACTCCCTTTGCCTTATGTTCAAGGCGAGCTACCAAAAAAGCCGAACTAAAAAACATTCTACCTAATAAAATTTGAACCCAAAAACGAAATACAAAACTCCATGCTAGATCAATTAAATTTCTAAACTTAATTAATACGATCTACTCATTAATTCGGTCATTCTCGGAATTTAAATTGAAAAAATAAACCTATTTTTTGTACAGAACATTTATATTTTTTCGAGAAGACATAAAAAATTGTTTCCGTGGAACCTAGAACAGTCGCCGTCACCAGCTGTTCTTTCTGGAAGAACGGTTGCGTGCATCGAGCTGTCTCGGGTAAAGGAAACATAACTTTGGACGCATGAATGAGTCCCGTCAACGCAATCCTTAGACGGTTACGGATTCTTCGCTGGGTACGCAACTGCTCTGGTCAGAGCTCTTTGTTTAAAATTATTTGTTTTGAAGCCAATTCTTTTTAATTTAAATATTATTTACAGACAACCTTGAAATGATAAAACAAAACCGAACTAGAATACAATTCAATTAAGATTAATAACTACTAAACATAATAAAATAAATAATCAATGCAATAAAAAACCAGAAAACGTGTAAAGGAATTACCTAATCCTCAGATTGATGTATTGTATATGGCTTTAATGCCTTCACAGGAACTGGTAAGGCGCCTAGTAACTTTTTGACCCAAGGATCTGCAAACTGCCCTTTTTTTATCGTTTTGATCTTTTCTCTCTTTTTGATGGTTTTGATTTCACCTAAAATTGACTTATATAATGCAATTGTTCCTTCAAAGAAGTCAAAAGACTTCTGAAGGAAATGTAACAGCGACAATATGTTTTTAGGGTTTCAAAAACGGTTCTCCAAAGTTGTCTCGAAACGTGAGAAAAAGATCTCATTTATATGTAAGTAGGGCAACAGAGTCTGCTGCGTGACGCAGCTACTGCTGGTGACTGACCGGGATAGCTGCGTCGACCAGCTTTTTCGGACCACCATCGCGACGTGCTGCATGTCCTCTCATATTATGACTCATACCAAATCGCAGCTGCGTGACGCAGCTAAGGTCGCCGTCACGCAACTGAGAGCTTGCGTGACGCACTCTTACGCATCCAGACACTTAAAATCGATTTATTACATTCTGGATAAAAAGACTCTAGATGAAATTACCTTTCATTTCACATCTTATATAATCCATTGGATGCAGGCGGGGGGCATACAAGACACGTCGCTAACTAGTTGCCCCCCCTGTTGACCATTTAATTGTGTAAACGATTAATGTTAAGTGGTCCTACAGACGCGCTCTTCAAACTTGGCTGATATGAAGTAATCGCTTGTCTGACAGTCTGGTCTACTGTCCAATAGCCAGTCTGTCGCTTGTTGGCTCCAGGTCGGCTCAATACACACGATTCTAAACTCGTTTGAATTTTTGTTTTGAAGATAATTCTCGAAGCTCGTCTTGATTTCGGCCTTCAAGGATTTGTTTGTGTCCACCCTGAAGGCTCTAGGTGCGGACTACATTCAGTGCTGTTCTATGAGCATCTACGTCATTCGCTGGTCAGTCCATGATGGTTCTTTTGAGACATCTTATCATGTCTGGTCACGAACAAAGCTCAGTCTGATGACTGTGGCTTAGGTCGATACTCTTATGATCATCTTCAAAACGCTCGATCTGATTGGCCTTTTGAATTCACCTCAAAGCTAGCCTGAGGTTGCGTGAAGGATTGTTGATTTGTTGCTGCTGAAACTTTCGTAATCAGCCATCATTAATCCAGAAAAGGATGACTCGATCCGCTTCTAATGCCATCATCAAAATGAATCGAAGAAAAAGATCTAAACAAGCAAGCTCAGTCTGATCGACTTTGCTGTTCCGCTC